TTTCTTACTTTTACTTTTTTTTTTTTCAGACCAAACGATTCAGATGCCGGAACATTGGTGTTAGTTAATGACTTAGTTGTAACCAACAAAAAAAGGAAAAAAAAAAGCAAAAATACCTCTGCTTTTTTCTTTTACACGATTCTGCTGCATATTTCCCTTGCAGTCTTCAAAATATTGACAATCATATATACATTTCAAAATTAACAAAATTAAGCAGAACCTAATGCTAAAATTTTTGCTTATTCAATTTGTTTTGAAGTACATTTCATTGCTTAGCAAAAGGGTGATACATTGAAAAAAAGCTTTCTTCTTTTTTCCTTGGCCTTTTCTATTGCTGCTTCTTATTGTTGTTGTTTTTGCTGTTGAATATAACAATTTTACAAATTCTTAACACATCACAAGATGACATCAAATAAAACGGTTGTTGGAAGAGAAAATGTGTTGATAAGAGAGGAATTTTTTTGTCAAAAGTCTTTACAAAAGTAGAAAAAAAAAAATTCTTCCTTTTTTGTTTTTTTGGCAAACAGTAAGACTGTTTTCTTCAAGCAGCTGCACACATTTTTTTTTTTTTTTTGATAAGAAAAAAAACTTCAGAAGAAATGCAAAAAAAAAAAACGGTGAATAGGAAAATCAAAAACAATTAAATTAGAACAGATACATTCCATAGTTCAGTTGAACAATTTCAGTACAATAAAGACAAGGATGAAAGACGAAGAATTGCTGCAACATCGATAAGACACATTCAATGTATTGGTGTTTGGCTGAAAATGATGTCAATCAAAAGCTCAAAGATCATTGATACACTGTATAAATACACCAAATATATACATATATATCCGGCATTAGCAAACTGTAATAATGCCATTTTACAACTTTGCACGTTGCTAATCATTTTCTGCTTTTTTTTTTTTTCCTTCTCCCTCTCATTTTGCTCTTCTTTTTAAAATTTTCAACTAAAACATCAAAAATTTACTTTTGCTTCAGAATAAAAGAACTAAAAATTAAGATGAACAGGAAATGTCAAATTTATTATTTTCCTCATAATTTTACAAATTTAATACCAAATCTGTATAATGAATGAAACGATAGTAACAGTAAATAAATTAAACAGTTGCCCCGAATAGTTGTTCCTTTTCTGCACTGAACTACTTTACTCTGAAGCTAATGGTCAAACAACAACACAGAATACCCATAAACAAAACATGAAAGAAAAAAGTGCACAAATATTCTATTAACATATGATATCACCAAAAATATTTTCCACTATTTAGCACTACCGTCAAATTCCAGACATTATTTTTCTTGCCCTTTCATTTATTTCATTTTTTTTTTTTTTGCACCGTTCAAACCCTTTGCAAACAATTATTGATGCACTTTTGCACGAATCAGATAACCCTCATAATAATTTGGCGTGGATGAAGGTGATAGTAATCTTATTTCATAAATATACAAAAAAATAGTTGCATTTTTGTTGTTTGTACCAAGAAGAAAGTGAAAAAAGAAAAAACAAAGAAACGAAGCAATTCGTTATCATTTTTAAATAGACTTTCCGAGTGGTAGATTTCTGCAAACTAATCAGAAATCTTTGAAGTAATGCGTCCCGATGCAGGTTACAAAAAACCTCCTAAATTTAATCCAACAGCATAAACCATAAGAGGTAATGTAATTTGCTTTCCTTCCGCAACCTTTGACCATCGTAAAGCAAAACAATGTCTATTTCCATCTTGACCTTTACAATGGGCCGTTCTCAATAAAAAACCTATAAGCACACAAGATCGCATGATGTTGCTTGGTGATCATACCATTTACCGGTTTTACTAGGATTACCTCGTGCCTCAAAAGCTCTTATTTTCTTCCTTTTATTGAATACTTCTTTATTGTTTCAGCACAACCTTTCTTAAAAAAATTCACAAGTCTCTAAACCTCTACTGCTAGTTCCAACCTACCGGTTTCACAGTTACCAAAGTTGGTAACATCACCTACATTTCATTTAAAATTTTTTTCCACAGAGAAGGCGGCAGAACCTTATGCAACAAAAACAGACCCACAGTCAGAACAGGAACTCGAAAATACCCAAACACATGCCGCATTCTCTGTTCTACCCTACTTAGCACTTTTGAAGCGCCTGAATGTCAAAAAATTCCTCCAGCAATCAGCAACCTTACCAGCCTAGTTCTCTGTTTCAGTTATAAAGTCAAACACAGCTTTCCCCCTCTCTAGCTACCTACCTTCCGTAAGTTAAATAACAAACTATCTTCAGATTATTTCCAACTAATAATGGAATTCGGACTGCTGAAAAACACCAAAGTTCCAAAGTTTCTCGGCTGTATAATACATCTTATCGCATAAACTCATCACTACTAATAAAGGGTCTCAATTTGTATAGCAGGTTTTTCACAGCATAGGCTTCAGAACAAAAAAACTTTGGTAAACCTTCTCCATCCGATAAACTTTACTGATAAGTGAAATATATCATAAACAGGTTTATAACACTTCGAAAATATGTTTTATCAGTAAAAAAATCTTCATCTACACTAGCTATTTTCTTAATTCTACTTATCCACAGTTCAAGAATCCTTAGCAAACTCGGTTGTAGACACCTAACGTAGCCTAAAACCACAAGTAGCCTACTACTGTAACATCTTATAAATAAACCTGTGCTATTTCAGAGGACGAATCACAAAGAGGATAACAGAAAAAAACCTCAGTCAACTCATGGCTAAACAGGCAAACGAGGTCAGAAAAAAACAACATTATAATATTTATAAATTCACCTCAAACATATTTATAACAACAATTTCAAGAAAAAACAAAAAAGAAAAAAAAACAAGCCTAACTTTAATCCCACTACACTCACTTTCCATGAATTTCCTCTGTCACTCTAATAATAAAAATGCCAAGACCGAAAAGAATACTGAAGTCATTTTTCGTGACTTAACAAAAAAACATCAAAACCCCTATCTTTTAGGCACCTTATTTTACTACTACTTATTTGTGCTATCTGAAAGAATCAAAAAAAAAAGTTGACCAGAGCGTTTTGCTCAAAAACGAACTGGTCTAAGACGATCTATTTCCCAGTTAGCTGAATTACCAAATAAACGACTTAAAGAGTGCTGGCAAACATCACCAGATAAAATACTACTTCATATTAAAAATTACCCTACTACACAAAAATCTAATTCATGAGCCACAGGAATTATGTGGTGCAATTAACTATCTAAAAATTTACATACCCGTCACTGTAATCAAAATTTATAAATCTTTTCAATATCAGCTAATCCGGATATCAGTTGTTAACCAGATTTTAACACTTTAGCAGCCTTCTTATCGGCATACAATTGCAGTCGTTCGTCTAAATATTTTTTCCTATTCTCCAAAAAAGTCTTATATTCCGTCGGATTTATATCTTCATTCACTACTTGAACACCAACAGAATGACAGGTCCGAACTACCATTTGGCAAATATCCTGAAAGAAGGGTTGCAGCAATGAAAGAAGTGCTTTCAAGAAACGAAAAGAAATACGCAGTATTTCTTTACTAATAGGATTCCCAGCAAAAAAGTTGCGAAAAATTTTTTAGCTTTCGTAAGGGAAGTTCATCAACTTACTTTTAATGGAACTCCTACTAAAGCTTTGTCCTGACTCTTCATTTTAGCTATTTCATATACATGTTTCACGGAAAGCTTCCCAACAATCTCACCTAATAAAAACAATTATAAAACAACAAGATTGACTCAACCGTACGAATAATCAGCAAAATTTCGGTGGTTAAAATTACTATGGACTAAAAAGTTAGTTAAAGTTAAAAAAA